GGGGGCGGGAGAGGCCTGGAGGCGGGTGGGGGAGGGCAGAGCCGGAGAAGCAGGGGTGATGCGGAGAGCGCCGAGAGGAGCTGCGGGGGTAGGCGAGGGATGCTGGGTGGCCGGGTGGGTGGAGCGGCGGGCGGAGGGGCTGAGGGATGATGGAGGGAAGAGCCTGGGACAGGGGATGTGGCGCCTGGGACACGGGAGATATGATAGAGGTGATGTGTTGCATCTGTGTGTCTCCCTGTGAGCCTGCGCACGACCACCTCTGTGTGTGTGTGTGTCCCTGCAGGAGGCTCTTTGGACACTGGAAATAGAAAGCCTGACCCTCTGTGTGGCTTTTGTGATGCACCGAATCAGCCAAGTGCTTGCTGAGAAGGACATGCGACTGGTTTTGCACAGCCTTCCCCACGCTGTGTGTGAGCCTGTCCCCACGGCGCGGGGCTCAGAGTTCTGCTTGTCTGCCTCCAGGGACAGGGTGCTCACTACCTCCCAAGACGTCCTGACACATTGTGAGATGGCTCTGACGGTTAAAAATGAAATTCGTCCTTATCGGAGGGGAAATCTGGTACCCCAAGGTTCCAAGTGACCCTGTATCCCCCTCTCCTAAATGCTCACCTCTCTTCTCCTTATCTCCATGTCTTACCATCACATCATTATCCCCACCCCGCTGCAATGGGGCTTTGGCCTTGACCCTCTTTTTGGCAGGTACCCAGTGCCCTCCTTCAGGCCAAATCCATCAACCACTCATCAGGCCTTATCATCTGTGACTTTTCTGTAGCATCTGACCTTGGCGACCTCTTCTTCTTGAAACCCTCCCCTCCTGGGCTCCCAGCCTACCTCCAGTTTCCTGCCCGCCCGCTGCGCCAACCTCTGGTTGTAGTTTCCAGCCTCCTTCCAGGCTCATCCTTTCTCCCACAACCCCTCAGTGTCAGGGTTCCCTGGGCTCCAAGCCAGGTTCTCTTATCTCTTCCCTGCCCCTTTCTGCACCTACATGCCTGCAGGATCCACATCTACACCTGCAGGCCAGAACCCTCCCCTCTAGGGCAGCACCTACTATGGGCCTAAGTACTGAGCTGGGCACCAAGAATACAGAGACAAAGGATGCTGTCAGAGCCATAAGGAGACCTATGACTATACTGAGTGAGGCCAAGATTTGGATATGAGACTCACAAAGGTGGGGGCCGTACCCTCCCTCCACCCAGCCACTCAAAGCAGACAGAAAGTTGGCCTCGGCTTCTTGCCCCATTATAATAACGTGACCATGTTCTGAGCATCCACCATGTCCCACACACTATTCTGGTAACTTCTAGAAACCTATCAACCTTCCTGAGGCTTTGAGTGGTCAAATCATGCATCCAGGGTCACAAGGTTAATAAAGGACAGGGATCTTATTTGTATCTTTTGATTGCAAAGCCGCCCCCCTCCCCGCCCACTTAAAAAAAAAAAAGAGATGGGGTCTTGCTATGTTGCCCAGGCAGGACTCAAACGCCTGGGCTCAAGTGATCCTTCCACTTCAGCCCCCTGAGTAGCTGGGACTACAGGGGTGTGTCGCTGTCCAGCTCAAAGCCCATTATTGTAAAACACAATGTGATAGCGACTCTTTCAACTGCCACATCCAGAGCTGTCTTCTGAGTCCTCTCGGTCCTCCTCACCTAGGCTATCAGAACAGCCTCCTCCCCGTCTTCCCGCTTGAAGCCCCTTTCCTTCATGTCTGTCTTCCTCCCCAGCGCCTAATGTGATTATATCCGAAACAAATGTGATAACATTAATTCTTGCACCAACATCTCCGATCGCCCCTATGGCCTCCAAGATTACACCGTGCTCTGGCATTTGAACCTTACCATCATGACTTCCTCTCTCTTGCCACTTTCCTCCTGTGCCAGGGACCCCAGGCCTTGATCATGCCTAGGAATCACGGATGCCAAAGTCTTTCGCTATGTGTTTCCTTTGACCAGAACACTGTTCAACCCCTTCTCTGATAGTCAGACGGCTTATCCACCAAGGCCCGGTTCGAGCCTCTCCCAGCAGTCCAGGCAGACACCCTCACTAAGTGTGGGCCAAGTCTGCTTCCTTGCCAGCCCAGACTGAGCCTGATTCCTGTCTACTTCTCCCCAGCAACCAACACAAAGTCAGGCACAACGCAGTTGCTCACTGAAAATTCAAAAGAATGGTATATTCCTCACACCTTTACCCAGGCATAAAGACAAAGAAAGTGAGCCCCACAAAGGCAAGGATGGTTCTGGTTTGTTCATTGCTGGTTCTCCAGTGGCACTATAGCACCTAGCACATAGTAGGTGCTCCTTAAGTATTTGTTATAGGAATGAATGAATGAAAGGTATATGACTCAAATCTGACTGTGGCTTAAAAGATGGACATAGGTAGGCCGGGCACAGTGGTTCATGCCTGAAATCCCAGCACTTTGGGAGGCCAAGGTGGGACAATTGCTTGAGCCCAGGACTTTGAGATCAGCCTGAGCAACAGAGTGAGACCTCATCTCTACAAAAAAAATACAAAAATTAGTTGGGTGTGGTAGCACTCGCCTATAGTCCCAGCTACTCTAGACGCTGAAGTGGGAGGATTGCTTGAGCTCAGGAGGTCAGGACCGTTGTAAGCCGGGATCATGCCAGTGAACTCCAGCCTAGGCAACAGAATGAATCCCTGACTCAAAAATAATAATAATAATAATACATAAAGATGAACACAAGCTCACAAGATGCAATGACAATGGCAATTCCTCTCATTGCTCAATGGTTTTGATTTTGAGCTCATCACATCCATGATCATTGAAAGTCTACCAAATAACCCTGCAAAGGTGAGTTGCTTAGATCATGCACCATCTTCCTATAGAGTCTCCCTACCTAGTGGCCTTCTTTTTTTTTTAAGTTGGAGTCTCACTCTGTCACCCAGATTGAAGTGCAGTGACCGCTCCCAGCCACTGCAGCCTCGACGTGCTGGGCTCCGGTGATCCTTCTGCCTCAGCCTTCCAAGTAGTTAGAACTACAGGCGTGCGCTGCCACACCCGGCTAATTTTTTTAATTTGTTGTAGAGATGAGGTCTCACCAAGTTGCCCAGGCAGGTCTCGAACCCGCAAGCTCAGGCAATCCACTCACCTC